AAACAATCAGGTATAGATCAAATGATACAAGAGGAAATAATGAATTCGGAGAATAAAATAAACATTATTGATCTTGAAATTCAGGATTTAACGCAAAATGAACATTGTCATTCGTCTCCGATCATCGATAACCATAACACTACAAACTACAACTATATAATCAGCATCAATCAAACTGGTTGCATCCATCAGAAAACGGCTTCATGATAGTAACGTTGGTAGTTGAATCAACGACTGTTTTCATTCAATGAAATCATCATAAACTTAAATGGGCCTGTAATTTCGTACCAAACGTGTTCTATTTCTGATAGTGCCAAGAATTTACCAACTGTGTTTACCATCAGTTAAAATCTCTCAAAATTTATTGGATCAGTAAAACTTTAAATCGTGTTAATTAGATTGAGAATTAGCTATCTAGACAAAATGAGAGTGAACAAGACAAGTAGTTACTGATCACAACTTTCGCCATTTACTAAAGTCTTCAGAGAGTATTAAGTCTTCTACTTGATTAACGCCAAATACGATATACAACTAACAGCACTTGAACGTATAGAACCCCTACAGTCACAAATAAGAAGACAGAAGAAGCAGGAGAAGTGATTGTTAGGTAAAAAATAAAAAATGTACAGAAAATCATGGGTATTCATAGATCTTGGCGTAAGCTATAATATCATTATAATTCAGCTAATCCAAAAGAAGGCAAGTCATGTTACCGTCTAATTGTAGAGTGCAACGTTGATATTCTAAAAAACTCCACCAGGTTCTGATTGGGTGGAAACTCTCCGTCATTTTTAGAGACTCTGGCGGCTCCGTTGTGCTTCTCGAAAGCCGTCCAAACATAGAGTAACCAGATATCATAACAAACTTTTGTTGACACTATTAAGAAGATCAATACTGGGACAAAACGTCTATCCAATATTTTCTAGTTTTCATTAATTTTCTAGCTATGATAAACTAAATGAGGCTATGAAAAAAAAGAAAAACTGTCTATAGTGATTTTGTATAATTTATTCAGTCGGAATGAGGTCTATGCCTTATTCCAACCAATGATGATTTGATTTTACATAGCAAATATTTTAGCAAATATAACAGTGAACTTGAAGATTTTAAATACAAATGTTTAGAAGAGGTGATTGATAGACAATCACAGACCTATATTTGTGCCCGAAACAAAGTAGGTAGTTTTCTTAGGGAGCCACTCCTCGAGCCTTTGACTTAAAGGTCTAATCCATAAGGCAGTAGAGCAACGTCAGAAGATTCAGTCTCATGGTAGTCGATGACAAACAATAGGTTCATATATCATTTGTTTCCTTAGAATCCTGGGAAGACAGACTGTACAATGCTATGTTAAAAGTCAAAATAAACGCACAGAAAGCCCGCTTAAAGTTTCCGGCGTTTTAACCGGGTTGGTGGACACGGAAAGTACACCTAGAGGAGTTTGAAAACCCTGATTACAAACCAATGGTGCACATGGGCTCCAGTGTGGCGCATAAATATCTGGTGCCCCTTTGTACCAATATTTGTGTGTTTAAATAAATAATAAATAAATAAGAATCCTGGAGCCCATGTTCATCATTGGTTTGGAATCAAGGTTTTCTAACTCTAATAGATGAATCCTTCGTATCAACCAACCCAATTAAAGAGCTGAACATTCGCTTTTCTTCCTCTCAATTTCGTGAACAACACTCTCATCGCGAAAAGGCAGTTAGTATGATTTTCCTGGTAGTTGTTTTCCTCACTTGGCCATGTGAGAAAATTTTGAGAGAGAGAAAGAGCTGACTCTCTCAACTCTCGAGGATATCAGGACATTTGAAGGCTTCACATAGTTTAGGAAACATAATACCTAAAAACTAAACTTCTATTAATAAAATATATTTGTTTCAGAAATTCTTTGATTAATCCCTAAATTTCAAAACGAACTCAATTATACTTCATTCCACTTAGTGATATTTATTCAACAGATTATGTAATAGAAAATATTACCATTTAGATTCCTGTTCAATATTGTACATTTCAAATTTATTTGATTTATTTAATTTATGTCGTGGATGTGCACTGTTGAGGAGTCCCATAATAAGACGAAACGGTTGTCCAGTGCTTCCAGGTTTTCCCTGATGGTCTAGCTTCAATTGAATCACGCTATCAACTATGGAAATACTGAAATCTCCACAAAATACCCTTTCTGATATTAATTAATAGTTGAACATTTATTCTTAACAAATTTATTAATCGAATTAATTGAGATCAGTTTAGATTGATCATTCATCTTTTATAATAACTCAGAAGATATTGAAATTTCATCAATTATACAAATAGTATATTATGTGATCACTAATGACTAGTTTCACGATTAATTTCCTGTAGTTGCAATGAGAAGGTGTAACCAGTGAAGATGATCCATATCGGATGGAGATAGGTATCTACCTCAAACAATGGAAGATGGTCGTGCAACTTTTTGGATTGGTTTAACTCAGACATTAAAACGTTAGATATGGCTCTATGGTCTGGAGATCTACCGTTTGTTATCGAGAACGAGATTCCTAGGTTCAAATACTTTTGATGCGGAATCATGAATGTGAACTAATGAGGAGTGTTATAAACAGAATCACATTAAACGTTACTTGCGAATATGAGGATCCAACGCTCTTTCGTGGAGGAGGATAAATTCTGGAAATCTAAAATCCGGTAATCAACTCCAAATCACTCAAAAAAGGGGCAGTGTTATATCCCATGGAGATTTACTAAAATGAAACGACAGTCCTCTGCATTCAAGTTTTCTGTGACGGTCTATCTTTGATCGATTCATGAAATCAATTATTAAAACTACTAAAATCTCCACAACTCCCCATTCTGATAATAATAATAATTCATTAATGATTTTCTGTACTCAATCTAGTAATTAAATCCTTAAGACATTTTACAAATATTGTCTTCTAAATATTACATCGTTGATTGAATAGTTACACAATTATAACCAGCTACTACAATCTTCTGTATACTAATGATCATTATGTGCACATTATGACACATTGTCAATAGAAAGTGCAGAAAATCTACTTGTAAGCTATGTGCAGTAGACTCCAATCATTTCGATGTGAGATAACATTCAATAACAATGTAGAAACATCAAGTCATATGTCATATGCTTAATAAGAGAGGCCTGAATATCCTAGGTTCGATCACTGGTGAATATGAACTGCTGAAATAATTAAGCTTCGACTAGATTGCTAGGCGAAACGTTGGATCTATTTCAAATTCATTCGCTGAGATTTTACAAATACATATTCCTCCTATTTAATGTCTTACATCAACTTGGTGCCCAAATAGTGTAATTTAGATGAGTTTGTCGTACAATGATTATCTACTTGAAGAATTGAAATCTTTACAAAAATACCATTCAGTTATTATTAACCAATATCATTTAAACTATTTCATAATTGTAATTGTAGATCACCAACATAGATGATCATTGTCGAATGATTGGGAGCCTACTCAAGTTAAACAGGAATGATATGATCAACAGCTAACGTCGAAGTCACACCTCGCCGTCAGCATCTAACGTGGATTACCCCATCGTTGTATCCAGGTACTATGGATGCTTTAAAGACCGTAGATAGAAGCGAAAGTATGACTACTACCTCATGAACCAGTCCATGGTGAAAAATTCATTGATGCGCGTTGGTTGTCCTTATCTTTGATAGGAATCGATGATCTATTTTATATACAATGACTCAACTGCCGGATAATTTGGCTAAGGATCAGTGACATTTCACTGGTCCTACAAAGAGTTAATCTGAATCGATATTTTTTTATCCACTTATTATCAGTCATTATCTAATCAAATCATGTTAGATATTATCAACTCTACTTAATGAACTAATATATATGACCGATGCAGGGTCAGTGGTCTATTGATTTAGTGCTCTGACTCGAGACTGGTATGTCCTGGGTTCGAATCTCGCTCGCGAGGCGGGATCGTGGATGCGCACTGCTGAGGAGTCCCATAATAGAATGAAACGGACATTCAGTGCTTCTAGGTTTTCCCTGATGATCTAGTTTCAATTGATTCACGATTTAAACTATGAAAATATATGACTGAATTCAACAAGTTAATCATGTCATTTATACACATAATACTTCGATTCATTAGATATAAATCACGTTGTTAAATCAGCTCTAACAAATGCAAATTTATCTACTTTATCGATTATATATACATATATATCTTTCATCATATGATTAGATATATAATTCCGACATTTATTAATATTATGAAGAACCTGTCTACTAATGGAATCTAAATTATTTTGATACAATAAGCTACTGCTAAGTAAGTTGTTATTAATTGTGTTAGTATTATGGAATTAGTCTAATTATTAGTGTTATGTAGTAGAATAAATTAATGTTAAAGATCCATAGTCCCCGAATACCATGGTACAACCGAGAGTGGGGAGAGTCCACCATCTGTCGAAATGCTCTCACATAACCACGCGTATATAGTATCTGCAAATAATGCTGCCGCCAAAAAGAACCCAACTAATTTAAATCACAAAATTTCATTAAAACACAAAAACTGACATTGATATTTTTTGTAATTGATCATTCCACTTGTCATGTGATTGGATCATTTAGCACAATTATTGTGCTGACATAATCACATTGAATTGATTGAGTACATTAGTTTCTTTCTTTATTGTTTTTCAGTCATTTGCTGATTTTTCTGTTGTGGTTGTTGTTGTTGAAAAGAGACACCATTATTAAGTAAGTTGTTACAATTAATTAATCTAATGTTAAGATGTAATATGTTAATCTAATCATCATCATCATCATCATCATCATCATCATCATCATCATCATCATCATCATCATCATCATCATCCAAATCATCATCCAAATCATCATCATCATCATCATCATCATCATCCAAATCATCATCATCATCATCATCATCATCAAGTTAACATCTCAGACTTACCATTTGTTTACCTTTCTCTTTGTAGATGGATTGGATCTATCTGATTCGTGTAATAGTTTGTTTATTTCTCGTTAAACAACTCATCGACCTACTATATATCATATTCAATTATACAATAGGAAAGAAGTTATTCTCAAAAAGGAAATTATTAAAACAAGCTGGTGAATGGGCAATTGTTACTGGTGCAACCGATGGAATTGGTAAAGTATATGCCGAAGAATTAGCTAGTGATGGTTTGAACATTATGTTAATTAGTAGAAATGAAGAGAAACTTTTAAAAGTTGCTAATGAAATAGATGTTCAAAATAAGTATGTATCTAAAGAACGATTCCATTTTTAGGAAAAATATGTAAACAAGTTACAAAACTCATCATGTTAGATAGTTGCGGCAATTAACTCGCTCATATATGTATGAACCATCAGAAAAATCAAGAGCGGCAAAGCAGTGGGACCATCTGGAACTCAAAACAATTGTCAACCAACACCGAGATCAGAATTTTCAATACAAATGTCAAGACAGTTCTACTGTATGGGGCGGGAATCTGGAGAACTACGGAAGCCATCATCCAGAAGATACAGGTGTTTATTAACAGTTGTCTACGCTAGATACTTTGGATCCGTTGGCCAGACACTATCAGCAACAAGTTACTGTGGGAGAGAACAAACCAGATTCTAGTAAAGGAAGAAATCAGGAAGAAGTGGTGGAAGTGGATAGAACACACATTGAGGAAATGATCAAACTGCGTCACAAGGCAAGCCATAACATGGAATCCTGAAGGCCAAAGGAGAAGAGAAAGATCAAAGAACACACTACGCCGAAAAACGGAAACAGATATGAGAAGAATGAACAAGAATTGGATATAAGTAGAAAGGAAGGCTCAGGACAGAGTGTGTTGGAGAATGCTGGTTGACAACCTGTGCCCCATCGGGAGTAACAGGAATAAGTAAGTAAAGTAAGTAAATATATGTATTAGGAGAAAAAGGTTTCCTGTAATGACTGAATAGAGAATAATTATAATATCCAATAGCGTAACTGATAGCCTATAGATGTGCTTAAAGTCAATTATCACTATCAGCAATCAAACCGAGACTAAAACTATGAATGGTATTGCTTTTAAATAAAGATTTAAGGAATATTGAAAACCGGAAATTTATGTTTCGGTGGATGAGAGAATGTATTTAAAGTAATAAATAGTTTTTTTTTAATATTTGAACACATAAATATTGGTACAAAGAGGCACCACAAATCTCATTTGATTTGTGTGATGGCTGTGATACTGTCCAGGTGACCAAACTGAAACAGGTGGTTTTCTTAGGGGGGAACGCCCGGAGTCTTTGATCTAAAGGTCTGATCCACAAAGCAGTGGAGCATCGTGAGGAGATGCAGTCCCATGGTAGACGGTGACCAACGATTAATTCATACACCATTTGTTCCCTCAGGATACTGGAGCCCATGTACACGATTGGTTTGGAACGAGGGTTTTCCAACTCCCCTGGGTGGACTCGCCGTGGCCACCAACCCGGTTTTTATTTATTTCTTTATTTAAACACATAAATATTGGTACAAAAGGGCACCAGGTACATATGCGCCACACTATTTGTGTGTGTGGGCTGTGATACTGCCCGGGTGCCCAAACCGAAGCAGGTGGTTTTCTTAGGGGACCACACCCCGAGCCTTTGACCCAAAGGTCTGATCCACAAGGCAGTGGAGCATCGTGAGGAGATGTAGTCCCATGGTAGCCGTTGACCAATGACAGGTTCGTCCGCCATTCGATCCATCAGGATACTGGAGCCCATGTGCACCATTGGTTTGGAATCATGGTTTTCCAACTCCCCTAGGTGGACCCTCCGTGTCCACCAACCCGGTTAAAGCGCCGGACATTCGCTTTTCGTCCTCTCACTTTCGTAAACAACAGTAATGCCATGAGAAGGCAATGAGTAGGACTTCCCTGACAGAGGCTATATACGCGTGGCCATGTGGGAGCATTTGGAGAGGGACAGCGGACTCTCCTCACTCTCGACCATATCAGGGCATTTGGGGGCTAAATAGAGTGAGTTTTGTTAGTTAATATAGATGCTTTAAAAGAAAATTACATAACAACTAAACGTACCCTGATTCCATACGTTCATAAACGTTTTTAGAAATTCAACTTGTTACTGAGTTATCCACATGCAGTATTAACAACAGAATAAATTGAATTGAGTGAGAAGAGAATGAAAACAAAATCTAAACTAACCCGACGTATAGGAAGTGAATTAAACGGTTGTATGATGGTCTCTGTTAAATAACTAAAACGTGATAAATTTCTTGTAAAAAATTTGAATATCCTAGTTTCCATTCTAAGTAGGATTGTTAGTGTACAATCGTAAGGTGTCCTATCACTAACTGAAAGAAGCGAACCGGTTATAAATATGTAGTGAACAAGAACACTTGTGGAGACAATGGAATGCAATTAATCAAAAATACAGACTGTCTCACTAAATTCTTATAAACATACAGCAAATATTCATTTAGTATTCTTTGTTTGAATCTTCCTATCGATGTGTTTAGGACTGCAACTGGTCAGTCTCTAATTGGCATATATGCATACTGTGCGTATTGCCTCGATATAGCCTTAATTCATAGGCATTGTAAGCAAAGATGGATAGTGACTAGCAGTGGAATCCAGGACGCGCCTTTCATCCTATTCGGGACTCGTCAGCTCGATCTACCTGCATCTCAGATGTGATGTTCACTCTGGGCCGAGTGGATAACGCGATGGCCTTTGAAGCGAAAGGTACTGGGTTCGAATCCCAGAGTGAACATCAACTCTGAGATACAGGTACATCCAGCTGACGAGTCCCAAATAGGACGAAACGCTGGTGCTGGATTCCACTGCTGGTCACTACCCATACAGCAATCAGTTAATTTGCAAAATAACAAGCGATTGTCGCAATCTTGACTGTTCCTTCTGTAAATATCACTTCATCTTCTCTAATTCCATTGTTCATCCACTTTCATAACGATTGCGCTTCCTTCCTGTTCTTTCCTTATCGATCTTCTGCCAAAATACATTCTTTATCTGACCATCACTATATACTACTTATATAGATATAAGTAGCCCACACTACATATCAATTAACAATATATGTTCACTATGAAAGCTTTATAGCCTTAGTTTACACAGTTGGCAGAAAAGTGGGTACGGACAACTGAAGAGTCGAGTTTCCTCCGATTTTTAAATGATATCAAACTAAGCAATCTTCTAAAACCTCTCAAGCTAATCAATTCACATTTTTTTCTCTTTCCTCAGATTGATGTCTATCCAAGAATACAAGAAGCTATAGATCAATTATCATCTATTGCTTGTTTAGTCAATAATGTTGGTATGGGTCCTCCTACATTCGACTATTACGCTACCACAGATTATATCACTATCGATTTCATTAAAAATCTCATTTTTTGTAACAATCTACCAGTTGCCATAATGACACATTTAGTATTACCAAAGATGTTGAGACAATATACCAATGGAATGGCTATTATTAATATTGGATCATATTCTGGTTATAGAGCTTTTCCATTTTTATCATTATATTCTGCAACAAAGGCATTTGTTATTCAATTATCTAGATCTATATCTTACGAATGCTTAAATGATCGTATCCATATACAAACAGTATGTCCAATGTTTGTATCTACCAGGATGATAGGCTATTGTAAAATGTATTTCTTTATTCCTAATGCCCGAGACTATGTTCAAAGTGCATTACAAATGTTAGGTGTTGAAAAAGAAACATTTGGTTATATTGGTCATGCTATTCAAGCTTATTTTATTAATTTCTTACCTAATTCATTTATAAAATATTATATGTTATTTATGAAATGGTGGATTAGAAAACATAAAATCTATTTAAGTAGTATCTCAAAGAAATGCAAATAATTTGAAACATTCACATTATCTTACACACACTCTCACACTTATAAACTTGTTTCTTTATAATAATAATTATTATGATTATGACTTGTTATAACAGTCCTTTTTCTTGTGGGACGTTCATTTACCTTAGACGAATATCTACATTAGATTTCGTCCCGGTGACTATTCTACAGTACTTTAATACATAACTCAGATCAAGAACACCTGATTAGCCTGACTAGAACGTAAATATTATTTCTACACCAAAACTCGACATAATCCAACAACAAATGAATCAATCAACAAACAATGAGGATAGTGTAATATATAATCCATCTGATACCTATCAGACTATCTACATATCTGACTAAGCAGACAACCAATCATTATCATTCTCGCCCACATATTATTATTGTTAGTAGTAGTAGTAGTAGTAGTAGTAGTAGTAGTAGTAGTAGTAGTAGTAGTAGTAGTAGTAGTAGTACTGTAGTGTGGTCTACTTATATCCATCAAAGTAGTATATAGTGATGGTCAGACATAGAATGTATTTTGGCAGAAGACTGATAAGGAACGAACAGGAATGAAGCGCAATCGGTCCGAAAATGTATGAACAATGAAATCACAGAAAGTGGATTAATATTTACAGAAGGACCAGTGAAGATTGCGACAATTGCCTGTTATTTTGCAAATTAACTGTTTGCTGTATGGTTATCAGAATTTATTGAGATAGTCTGTAATTTGTGGTTCAATACATTCGATTGTCCCCAATTAGTGTTCTGTTCACTACATTTGGTGTCGATGCCAACCAAGAGGAGGGAAGGTGCTGTTCTGCGGATGCCGCTGAGGGCTTGGAGTACAGGTGGTGGCTGGGGCAGTCTGGTGCGGGGAGGTGACGTAGTGTGGAGTGTTCTGGGGGGGGTCGGCGTTGGCTGTAGCAGGTACTGTCAACGGAGAGAATCGGGGAGACGTGCGGCTGATGGGCAGATATCGGATGTACATGGTTCAGGAAGCCCAAGGGGTACAGGTGTTGAACGTCCCAGGTGCAGGATGGATGTCGGCGCGCTGCAGACTCGACATATTGATGGAGAGCTTGGCACAGACTGCAGCAAAAGAAGGTGCGCACGGCGAGTAGAACCACTGCATGAACGAATGCTTTAAAGGGGGGGGACGAGTGTAGTGTGGTCTACTAATATCCATATAAGTAGTAGTAATGGTATTCACATTACAGTATTCAAGACCACCTCCATCTACTTTTATATTTTTTCTTTTCATTTGTCATATTATGAATTTATTTTCTAAACATAAAATATTAGATTGCTTTATATAAGAACTTTCATCTAAATTAGAGAGAATCGTTTTACAGTATTTGGGTGCCGAGTTGATGTAAGACATTAAATAGGAGGAATATGTATTTGTAAAATCTCAGCGAATTAATTTGTAGTAGATCCAACGTTTCGCCTAGCAATCTGGTCGAAGCTTAATTATTTCAGCAGTTCATATTCACCAATGATCGAACCTAGGATATTCAGGCCTCTCTTATTAAGCATATGACATATGACTTGACGTTTCTACATTGTTATTGAATGTTGTCTCACATCGAAATGATTGAAGTCTACTGCACATAGCTTACAAGTAGATTTTCTGCACTTTCTATTGACAATGTGTCATAATGTGCACATAATGATCATTAGTATACAGAAGATTGTAGTAGCTGGTTATAATTGTGTAACTATTCAATCAACGATGTAATATTTAGAAGACAATATTTGTAAAATGTCTTAAGGATTTAATTACTAGATTGAGTACAGAAAATCATTAATGAATTATTATTATTATCAGAATGGGGAGTTGTGGAGATTGTAGTAGTTTTAATAATTGATTTCATGAATCGATCAAAGATAGACCGTCACAGAAAACTTGAATGCAGAGGACTGTCGTTTCATTTTAATAAATCTCCATGGGATATAACACTGCCCCTTTTTTGAGTGATTTGGAGTTGATATCCGGATTTTAGATTTCCAGAATTTATCCTCCTCCACGAAAGAGCGTTGGATCCTCATATTCGCAAGTAACGTTTAATGTGATTCTGTTTATAACACTCCTCATCAGTTCACATTTATGATCCTGCACTAAGAGTATTTGAACCTAGGAATCTCGCTCTCGATAACAAACGGTTAATTTCCAGACTACAGAACCACATCCAACGGTTTAATGTCTGAGTTAAACCAATCCACAAAGTTACACGACCATCTTCCATTGTTTGAGGTAGATACCTATCTCCATCCGATATGGATCATCTCCCTCTCTCAAAATGTTCTCACATGGCCATATGCAACAAACCACTTCCACGGAAGTCCTACTAACTGCCTTCTCGCGATGCAGGTATTGTTCACAAAATTGAGGGGAAGAAAAGTGAATGTTCAGCTCTTTAATTGGGTTGACGGATACGAAGGTTTCATCTTGTAAAGTTAGAAAACCTTGATTCCAAACCAATGGTGAATATAGGCTCCAGGATTCTAATTTATTTATTATTTATTTAAACACACAAATATTGGTACAAATGGGCACTAAATATATATGCGTCACACAAATCAAATGGGATTTGTGTGAGGGCTGTAATACTGCCCTGGTGCCCAAACCGAAGCAGATGGTTTTCTTAGGGAGCCACACCTCGAGCCTTTTACCTAAATATTTGATCCACAAGGCAGTGGAACAATCGTGAGGAGATGCAATTCCATGGTAGCCGATGACCAACGATTGATTCATACGTCATTTGTTCCCTCAAGATACTGGAGTCCATGTGCACCATTAGTTTGGAATGAGGGTTTTCCAACTCCTCTAGGTGTACTTTCCTTGCCTACCAATCCGGTTAAAGCGCGGGAAACTTTAAGCGGGCTTTCTGTGCGTTTATTTTGACTTTTAACATAGCATTGTACAGTCTGTCTTCCCAGGATTCTAAGGAAACAAATCACATATGAACCTATTGTTGGTCATCGACTACCATGAGACTGCATCTTCTGACGTTGCTCTACTGCCTTATGGATTAGACCTTTAAGTCAAAGGCTCGAGGATTGGCTCCCTAAGAAAACTACCTACTTTGTTTCGGGCACAAATATAGGTCTGTGATTGTCTATCAATCACCTCTTCTAAACATTTGTATTTAAAATCTTCAAGTTCATTGTTATATTTGCTAAAATATTTGCTATGTAAAATCAAATCATCATTGGTTGGAATAAGGCACAGACCTCATTCCGACTGAATAAATTATACAAAATCACTTTACTCAATTCTCCTCTTATTCTCATAATTTATTATAGCTAGAAAGCTAATGAAAACCAGGAAATGCTGGATGGGCGATGCGGTCACGCTCTCAGGTCGATAGAACCAATTCTAACCTAATTTCTTTTTCAGGTACCTCTAGAAGAACCCTTCCACGGTTTTGACAACCGGGAAGTTATAACCGCTCTCATACCTTTAACAGCACTCAAGATCACTGTATTCACAAACAATCTATCTTTTCAATCCCCTTAAATTTATTACAAATTAAGGTAAACTGACTATTTATATTAGTAATCAATTATATGTTATTAATTTATAATGCAATCAAGCTGTGGTTCGTAACATCATTCGAAAATGGTGTGAAAAAGCAAACATTGGAAATGACTATAAAGGATTCAAACTACTTATATGTCCGTTATCAGTAGTACACGTTATATAAATAGATAGGACATAGAATATACAGTTAATAAATCTTAAACAACTTTTGAAATATTCATGATTGCTACTAATATCGAATCACAAATCACCTTGGTGGTGTGAATGTTTCGTGTTATCTTAAACATGTATACATAAGGATGTTATTGTAAAGAATATCTTCTATTTATCGCCTATATGACAGTTTTACCAGTTGACGAAATGATATCATTCGACATTGATTCGAGTTCCTGTTCATAGTGTTTGTAGTCTCTATTAAATATAATCAGTCGATTATCATTTTTAGTTGACTGGATGATCAAGAATAATATATGTGAATGACTCAGACAGTCAGGAGCTGACTGACAATGAAGTTCGAAGATTAGGATAAAGTATGACAGAACAATATCATGATTATTTTTGTCAGTAGTTACTTTATATAACTCATAAATGTATGTTAGTTCAAAGACGTGGTCGATGATAACAGGGGAACTGTTTGTTAGGTCGGCCTCCAGAGAACTCCAACAGAGCCTCCAGAGGCTCAAAAAGAGCTCCAACCAATCAGAGCACGACAGAACATTCTGGAGTTCCAACGTGGCACGCTATCATTGGTCAGTAGCAATTTATGTCGTTAAGTGGATTGGCTGAATTAGGATGTTGATTTAACGTAAGCAAACATCCATAAATACCTACGATTTTCTGTACAAAGAAGAACCTTGCAATAAAGCATCTTCTTCGTTACTTGTGTCTTCTCCCTGGTCTTCAAGTCGCTGAGTAGTGCTAGCCTGGGGTTATCAGAATAGCTTAGGATCTGAATATAGCGTTCAACCTACAAGACATATCACTGTTGTTTGACGAAGTAAGATAATGATAATCATTGATGGTAAATATAAACGATAATTGATAAACCTTGCAAATTGAACACTTAACTGGAATCCTAAGCTAGTCTCGTAACCCCCAAGCTAAATTTACACAGAAACTTGAACACGAGAGAAAGGACACAAAGTATGAGAGAAACACTTTACTCCACAGTTTCATTTAATTACAGAAAATATAGGGTTTTTATA